GGAAGTGAAGGAAAAGTTATTAATGATAATCCTCAGGTTTCTGGCTTACATATAAATTGCATAAGTGATGGTGACATTATACTGATACCAGTGTATTAAAAGACCAGCTTTGAGGGACACAGTCTCAGTTTCAGATTAACTGTAGTTCCTTTTTTTTTTTTAAAGATTTTATTTATTTATTTGACAGATAGAGACACAGCGAGAGAGGGAACACAAGCAGGGGGAATGGGAGAGGGAGAAGCAGGCTTCCCGCCGAGCAGGGAGCCCAATGTGGGGCTTGATCCCAGGACCCTGGGACCATGACCTGAGCCAAAGGCAGACGCTTAATGACTGAGCCACCCAGGAAGGGACAGAACCTCATGAATTGAGGGACAGGTAGGTGACTAAAGGAAATGTGTATTTTGTGGGGAAGGGGAGTGTGGAGAAGGGGGGACAGTTACCAAGCAGAAGGAGATGCCGAGCATACAAAAGCAAGAATTGTTCCTTCCACTTACAAGATATGAAAATTTGTTCAAATGTTTTGCCCCAGGGGAAAAAGAAAAGAGAAAGAATTTTTGTTACTTTTCATAGCTAAGATTTAGAAAGTAGTTCTGAACCTATGGACATCCATCCATATATACGTTTTAAATACTCTTCTCATTTGTTCATTAGACAAAAGTAACTGAGTCCCTACTGTATGCAGGACTTTGTTTTAGTTCCAATACAAGAAGTAAAATATAAATCAAAGTCGATGGCTCTCATGTTGTAGTTTAGTTTCAAGAAACAGAGGTTCTCAGTATAAACTCAGGTATATGGAGATGGGAGTGAGTGTTCATTATTCTTAGAGCACATATAAATTTATAGAGTGATAGAATCTCATGGCAATCCAAGAGGAGCTGTAATAAAACACAATCTAATCCAGATTAGAATTGAGGGGTGGTTCTGGATCCAAAGGGTGATGCAGGGGTTTTTATATCTTCTCTCTAGTGCTCCACCATTTATGTGGTTCATATAGTGTTTACACATCTCTTTCCTTCAACTAAAAACAGTTATATATAAACATATACGTACGTATATATGTATACATATACTTCCAATTTAAATACCTGAGAAAAGACATATATTTGGCTCTATTAATCACTATTATGGCATTTGAGTAGTTTTTTGGTTGGGTTCCCACACAAGCTGACTTAGAGGCAAGGATTTGAGAGCTGATAGTTAACTTGGGAGGTTTCCTGGAAGCACTTTTATAGGAGAAGGGAATTGGAATAAGGAAGGGAAGGAAGCCAATACAGGATTCATTATTGAGCGGGTTACTGCTGTGGACAACTGAATTTCAGTCCCATGGGGGAACTCTGGGAGACAGTATAGAATATTTCTCAGACTTATCCTAATTTGGAGGTAAAGAAGTTGGATATTTGTCCTTCAACTCCTGTCTGTCTTTGCTGAGGGCCAATTCAAGGGACATTGACTTCCATGTACATGCAACCTGCCCTATTTCCCTTAGGTAGAAAGTGGCAGGTGCTTATAGCTGGTTGCTCTCAGCATTAAGTGGACCAGGAAGTGTGGAGGGGATATAGGCAGGGAACCAATGGCATCTGTTATAGGCAGAACCCTATTCTAGTCAGATCATAGGTTGATGGCCTTTGGGTCAGCATTGGCTAATCAGCATTGGCTCCTATAAGGATTGTATTAATGTGATGTTGAACTGTTTAGTAGGCTACTTTTTCAGGAGGGCTGTGGGCATGGCAAGAGCTATTGAGGTCTAGTACAAGGAGAAAGGAAATATGAAGATTACTTACAATAGCAGATAATTTATCTGTAAGTCTAAACACCTTAGCATCCATCCAAACATCAGAACTGGTAAAAAAAAAAAAAAGATGTAAATTAACTAATGTCATCAATAAGGTAAGAACTATGTTCCTGGTAATATATATGTTGGAATAATTCTTAGTTATTTGTCAGTTTAGGCACACAAAAACTGTTTTTGAAGCTCTGTATTACAGTTATGCAAATATGTATTAGTAGGTCCTGATTCATATAATAGAGAGGAAAAAGTCAAGAAAATGTGCTCATTATTTCCTTTCTTCAAGATTTAATCCAAAAGTCTTTCAGCAGCTGAGGGCAGTGGTTGTGGTGGGATGGCAGATAGTGTTGGAGGCTGAGCATCATAAGGGGGGCATCCAAGTGAGGAGGTGTCAGTGGCAGCATGAAATAAGGTGTCAGCATGAATGTAATGAGGAGTGGTCACATGCAGAGGTGGCAGCAACAATGGGAAACTAGGTATATACAGGCATATTGAACAAATATGTAAGTATATTGAGGATAATGGTTGCTGGGATTGTCATTAGTGGAGAAGTTAAGTACAAATTAGAAAACTAGAATGAACACTTTTTGGATTGTCAATATTGGTAAACTCATGAGTTTGGATGGATAGATAGATAGATACATATTGTTGTTAATGTATGTATACATATATATGTATGTACATATATTCCCTGGCTATGCACTCTGTGAGAGCCTGAAAATAACAATATCCTGATAGCAATGAGCACATTTAGCATCCAGAACTTGGTTTCTAAATTCCATTCTTCATTAAAAGAAACAAGGCCGAGCTGAGGCAGGGAAAGTACAGGATGAGCCTGGAACATCTTGCTGTGTCAGAAAGTAAGGAAGTGTTCAAAGAATGATGAAGGTGTTAGAAGAACATAAAAGCCAGCTTCCAGAAGCTCCCACTGGCCAACTCTGGAACAGTTTGGTCATCAAAATAAGTAACAATAATACTCTGGTTTCTCTTCAGATCGTATAAATCTTTCGCCTTTTACAAAATAAGTAACAATAATATGGATTATAAAATTGAGTAAAATAGTAATTCATGAACTTGTGTTAATATAAATAAATAATACATATAGAGAGGAGGATTTTCCTTATAATTAGTAAATATGGAGGCAATGATGGAATTTTAGAAAAACATGATTTAATAGCATCATAATACTAATAAGTTCAACAACAAAAAATCAACAGATGTTAAAACTAATGGGTAAAATCTGGGACACCTAGGTGGCTCAGTCAGTTAAGCATCTGACTTTTGGTTTCAGCTCAGGTCATGCTCTCAGGGTCCTGGAATCGAGTTCCACATCGGGCTCTGCACTCAGTGCATAGTCTGCTGGAGGTTATCTCCCTCTCCCTCTCTTTTCCCCCCACCCCATTACTCCCCCTCTCTTCCTCCCCTTGCTCCCGCACATACTCTCTTTCTCTCTAAAATAAATAAATAAAATCTTAAAAAAAAGAAAACTAATGGGTAAAATCTGATGAAGACTGGCATAAAGAAAGTCAACAAAATATTTATTAGTTAGAAAGTGAAAAAGTATAATTTTACAGAGGAGAAGCTTGGCAGACACCACTATAATCAAATGTAACTAAAGACTCATAGAGTGGAATATCCTAAAACAAAGGAGGTCACTCCAAAAGCAATAATCTCTTTACCTCCAAGGGTCAAAATTCCAGCCATCCTTGTTTACTACCTTCTACATTCTCCCTCACTGTCTCTCCTCAAATGACCTTCTTGACCAAGAACTCTATTAAAAATAAAAATGAGATCATTCCATTCTGAGACTTTAAAAGGTTTTTTACTTTCATACCTTCTTTCTTTTCACAAAAATTTCAAAACACTTTGAATGGAAATTTTGATTAATTCTTATTTTTTGCTTGAGTGTGGCTATGTGGTATAGAATGAGAATTGTGACCACAATACATGAGGTTTTGACAAGTTTTTCAGAGTAAGAAAATTACTGATAAAAGTCTTAGGAATTGATGGCACTCTGTTTTGACAGAGTTTAGTCCCAGAATTTATATGGCTACAATTCATTGCAGCCTATCTCATGGAGAGGTGGAGTCTATTTCCCCACACTTGAATCTGGGCCAGCCTTGGGTCTTTGACCAATAGAATATGGTGAACTGACATTATGTGACTACCTGAGGCCTCAGAAAGGTCTTGAAGCTTCTACTTTTGCCACCCTGGAATCCACCTGCCATATGATAAACCCTGAGCTAGCCTACTACAGAGGCCATGTGGAGACAAACTAAGGCACCCAGCCCCCAGCCTAAGTCAACTGAGAGACATGTGAGTGAGATTATTCAGAACCATTCTGCCCCCTCAGCCAACTTGCCAACTGCCTACAAACACAGACATCAAACCATTCAACCATGGAGAACAGAGACAAGTCTTCCCCATTGAGAGCCCTTCCCAAAATACCAATTCATAGAATTAGGAACATAAATAAATTAATTAATTAAATCAACAAACTATAGCTTGTGGGTCAAATCTGGCTCACTGCCTCTTTTTGTAAATAAAGTTTTATTGGAACATAGCCACACCCATTTGTTTATGAATTGTTATGACTACTTTTGAGGTAAAATTGCAAACCTGAGTAGTTGTGACAGAGATTGTATGGCCTCCAAAGTCTAAAAATATCTACTATTTGGTCCTTTACAGGAAAAGTTTGCCAAGCTTTATTTTAAGCCATTAAATTTTAGGGTAGTTTGTTATGCAGCAGTAGATAATGCAAACAATTTTTTTTTTGTAGGAGAGTAGTCAAGTCCTTGCTTGAACTGTAATTATTTTTTGTAATTTCATGTACACATGTTTGAGACCTCTGAAGGTGTTTAACTTTATCTAGACCAACATATACTTTCATATGAATAACAATGTCATTCTCCTAAATAGAATATGTTTATAATGCTGGGCACAATATCCACTTTCTTGATACAAGGTACTTTTTGAATTTAATAACCAGATAAAATCCAATATGGCTCTTTTGTACCCTCAGAAAATGCTTCATTTAGAAATTACTCATGTTAAAGTGATTTTTAACTTGATGTCAGAAATGAGCCTTGGGTAGTATATGAAAGTCTCTCAAAGTATAATAATTTAATTCACTGCAGAAAGCAACCTCTAAGTATTATTGCTACATTTTCACAACTTTTGCCTGACAGTTGGCCCTTATCTTTTTTTTTTTAAGGAAAAGTGAAATATTAGCCTGTCTTCAACCTTCAAAAAGATGAGCCACATTTTCTGACTTATACAAGGTATTTTAAAAAACTAATTTTAGGGATTGGCAGATCTGTGTAATCCTGGCTTGTTGAAAAGTATATGAATAGATTTCCACATGAGCTTGGGAAATATGAATAAATATAATGTGTAAAACACTGTCAAACTCAGATATTTATCTGTGTACTGCAGAAGTTTACTATCTATTTTTCTCTGCCTAAATACATGGCTAATCAGTTAATGCTAATTAAATGTTATTATTTCTGCAACAAATTATAAAATAAAATAAAAGTAAAGGAAGTGGGAAATATAGTGTATTTTTCCATGTAGCTGTGAAGAGATATGAAATCTGTAGCAGGGCATAAATGTACATGGTCAATTCTCCTAAGTCAGTTTTGAAGCATATACCATTATGAAAGAAGATGCTGGTTATACAATGTGAAACTGGGAGCCTGTATTGCCATCAGTATGAGTTACGATTCTGAAGGTCTAACTCTAGGTTAGCAATCAGACGTAAAGGACTTTCCTCCTAGATGTTTTAGATCGCCCAGTCAAATTTTAAGAAAAACCTCCATGATTCCTAACTTGATACCCACTTTTCCTGTATGCCCATTATTAATAACATATATCCAGTATTTAAAATTTATATTTAACAACATATTTTATTTTTATTGTCCTAGAACCAGAATTGTGGGATTTTAGGACTAGAAGAGACCTGACAGATTATCTGATCCACTTGTTTCATTTTGCATAAAAGGGAATTGTTTTTCTTTATATACATATGTGTGTGTGTGTGTGTGTGTGTGTGTATAAACTCTGAAGGACCATCTTATATAATACCATTTTGCACATATCTATTAACTATCAGATTCTAAATTCTTTAAAGTGGAAAAGAAATAATGTGCATCAGTGTCAGCCAGGTTAATTCACTACTTTACAACAATTTAATGAAGAAGTTGAAACTGTTCTGGTTGTTTATCAATTATAAGAACTTGGGTGAGAGTCCTGAAAGGCCAGCAATAAAATTCAAAGAGTTCTATAAATGAAAATAAAGATTAAATTTGTCAGCAGCCTTGTGTTGTGGTGTGATTATTGTACCCCTGTTGAAATCATGACCCCCAATATCTCAGAATTTGACTGGATTGGGAGACAGGGTCTTTAATGAGGTAATTAAATTGAAAGGTCATTATGGTGGGCCTTGATCCAATATGACTGCTGTCCTTATAAAAAGAGGAGCTATCACACACAGAGACACACACAGGGGGAGGACCATGAGGAGACATTGAGAGAAGATGGCCATCTACAAACCAAGGAGAGAGCCCTCCAAGGAAAATCACCTTGTCAATACTGTATCTTGGACTTACAGCCTTCAGAATTGTGAGAAAATAAATTTCTGTTGTTTAAGCCACCCCAGTCAGTGGTTAGTTATGGCAGCTCTCGCAAACTAATATACCTTATAAATATTTGACATCCAGGGCTCAAGATAATAATACAGATGTCTGCCAAAATGACATGACTGTCATCTTTATTATGGTCAGATACTATAGTTCTGTTGATGCAACATAAGATTTTGTAACCTGTATACAGTTCAGATATGGTGGCAGTGGCTTAGCCCAAAGTTCCATCCAAAGACACACATTTCCAACATCCAAAAATAATTGGAAAAAAATGTTTAAATTTTACTTCAGTCTCTTAGAACACACACAGAGTGACATGATATTCATAACACATGACAACACTTCCTTTAAAACCTCTTTCCTCATCTCGAAAGCCTCCCTTGCCATAACACAGCAGCAGATCCAAATTTCTTTCTCTTTTCTCTCTTTTATAAACTTCCCAAACTCTCTCTATTAGGCAGTGCTTATTGGCTTTTGACTTTCTGAGTGTCTCTGCTCACCTTTAGCATCTGCCTTTTTTCTTGTGCAACTCTCCAGCTCTTCCAATAGGTCAATCAAAACTTTCCTCTTACCCAATCTACCACTTACTTATAAAAGGAACTGACCTTGCCAAGAAAAAAACTTTCCTTGGCTGAAGAGGGAGGGGAGAGGCTGTGAACAGTCAGGCATCATTTTTTTTTTTCCTGTCAAAAATGCGTTAAATGTATTGGCAGCTGTTTCACATTGTTGATGATATTAAGTTTACAGTAAACTAAAATGTTTCAATGTATACATGTTAAGTGAAATCACCCCTATCCTTTACTTAGGTAGGTTTTTGTTTTGTTTGTTGGGTTTTTTTTTTAACATAAAATGCAAGACTTTTCATTTCTTTCTGATAAGTTTCACCTTTTGGCCCAGTATTCCACAGTTCCAGGATCTTTTGAATCTCTTTTTCTTTCCTCTAACACATTGGACATTTTTTTCTAGTTTTATGAATTTGATAGCCTGGGACCACCAGCTGAGAATGAGTCAGCAGTATAGTGTGACTGTTTTTATAAAGCTAACTGTGATAGTGAAATATATTAATAGGTCTGTGACATCCAAGAGCTAGGAAAGTATCCCTTTGCTAAACTTAGAATTGGTCACACCCTTAAAGTGTCAGGCCAAGTTTGGGCACTGGCATTTTAATGCACATGTGAATGGCAAGGAAGATTTGAGAGTAGTGTAGCAAGAATGAAATAAAAAATGAAATGAAATATGGTTAAAGTTAGAGAAGTCAGAGAAGAAAAATGTTTACACATTTGCGAAGAGTCTTTATAGAGAAGACATTCACTTATTGTTCTTCAGTTTCTCGGGGAGTTCAGGACAAAACAGGAGGATGTGGCCTTTGGAAAATGGGAAACAACATAAAAGTCTAATAATACAAGACTGTTTAAATAAATTATGGTACCTCCGTATAATAAAAACCATCATGAGACACTTGATGAAACTGAATTTTTTTAAATCATCTTGGAGTAAGGAAGGCTCTTCTAAGAATCAAAAAAAAAAATCTAAGTCATAAAGTAAAATATATGTATACATTAAAATTTTCTTTAAAAAGAAACAATAAATAATGGGCAAGGGCCTATCTTCTTTAATGTAAAGAAGAATGGGACAATTCAACAAAATAAAGATTAATCACCCATTAGAAAAATGTGCAATGAATTAAAAGAAAAAGTTTATATTAGAATAAATGCAAATGGCTAACAAAAATAAAAAAGTTCTACCTTAATAATGATTAAAGAAATGTATTTTATAATTAGAACTAGATATTTTTAAAATTTTGATTCCAGTATATTTAACATACAGTGTTGTATTGGTTTCAGTTGTACAATATAGTGATCTGATAATTCTGTACATTACTCAGTGCTCATCATGATTAGTTTACTCTTAATCCCCTTCACCTATTTTATCCATCCCCCACCCACCTCCCCTCTGGTAACCATCAGGTTGTTCTCTAGAGTTAAAAGTGTATTTTTTTTGTTTGTCTCTTTTTTCCTTTGTTCATTTGTTTGTTTCTTAAATTCCATAGATGAGTGAAATCATGTGGTATTTAATCTTTCTCTTGATTGATACAAAATCAATATATAGAAATGCATGGATTTCTGTATATTGATTTTGTATCCTGCAACTGTACTGAATTAATTTATCAGTTTCAATGGTTTTTTGGTGGAGTCTTTAGAGTTATCTGTATATAGTATCATGTCATCTGCAGATATTGAAAGTTTTTTCTTCCTTTCCAATTTGGATGCCTTTTACTCCCCTTTTTTGTGTGATTACTGTGGCTAGGACTTCCAGTACTGTGTTGTTGAATAAAAATGGTGAGAGTGGACATCCTTGTCTTATTCCTGACTTTAGGGGAAAGCTGTTAGTTTTTCACCATTGAGTATGATGTTAGCTGTGTGTTTTTCATATATGGCCTTTAGTATGTTGAAGTATGTTTCCTCTATACCTACTTTTGTTGAGGGTTTTATCATGAATGGATGTTGTACTTTGTTGCATGCTTTTTATGCAGCTGTTAAAATGATCATATGGTTTATATCCTTTCCCTTGTTGATGCTGTGTAGTAAGTTAATTGATTTGCTAATATTGAACCACCCTTGCATCCTGGGAATAAATCTCACTTGATTGTGATGAATTCTTTCAATGTATTGTTGAATTTGGTTTGCTAATATTTTGTTGAGGATTAGTGCAGCTATTTTCATCAGAGATATTGGCCTATAGTTCTTTCTTTTTTTAGTGTTTTTATCTGGTTTTGGTGTCACGGTAGTACTGACCTCATAAAATGAATTTGGAAGCTTTCATTCCTCCTCTACTTTTTGGGATAGTCTGGGAAGAATAGGTTTTAACTCTTCTTTATATGTTTGGTACAATTCACCTATGAAGCCATCTCGTCCTGGACTTTGTTGGGAGATTTTTTTGATCCACTGATTCAATCATGGCTGGAAATTGGTTTCTTCAAAATTTCTATTTCTTCCTGTTTCAGGAATTTATTCATTTCTCCTAGGTTGTTCACTTTGTTGGCATATATTTTTTCATAATATTCTCTTATAATTCTTTGTATTTCTGTGGTGTCAGTTGTTATTTCTCCTCTTTCATTTCTGATTTTGTTTGAGTCCTCTTTCTTTTTTGATGGGTTTGGCTAAAGGTTTATCAGTTTTGTTGATCTTTTCAAAGAAACAGCTCCTAGTGTCATTGATGTGTTCTTTTTTTTTTTTTTTTTTTAGTATTTATTTCTGCTCTAATCCTTATTTTTTCTTTCTTTTTCTTGGTTTTGGGTTTTTTTTTTTTTTGGTTCTTCTTTTCTAGTTCCTTTAGGTTTAAGATTAACTTGTTTATTTGAGATTTTGCTTGCTTCTTGAGGTAGACCTGTATTGTTACAAACTTCCCTTTTGCTGTGTCTCATGGATTTTGGACCGTTGTGTCTTCATTTTTGTTTGTCTCCATGGACTTTTTTAATTTCCTCTTGATTTCTTGGTGGACCCACTCATTGTTTAGTAGCATGTTATTTAACCTCCATGTATTTCTGTTCTTTCTAGATTTTTTCTTGTGGTTGATTTCTAGTTTCATAGTGTTGGGGTCAGAAAAGATGCATGGTATGACTTCAGTCTTTTTGAATTTGTGGAAACTGGTTTTGTGGCCTAACATATGATCTATTCTGGAGAATGTTCCATGTGTACTTGAAAAAATGTGTATTCTTCTGTTTTAGGATGTATGTTCTGGATATATCTCTTAGATCAATCTGGTTCAATGTGTCATTCAAAGCCACTGTTTTCTTGTTGATTTTTTGTTGGATGAGGTAAGTGTGGTGTTAAAGCCCCTTACTATTATTGTATTACTATGAATTACTTTTTATGTTTGTTGCTAGCTCCTTTATGTATTTGGGTGCTCCCTGTTGTTTACAATTGTTGTATCTTCCTGTTGGATGGTTCCCTTTATGACTGTATGGTGTCCTTTGACTCTTGTTATGGTCTTTGTTTTAAAGTCTGTTTTGTCTGATGAAAGTATTGTTACCCCGGCTTTCATTTCACTTCCATTTGCTTGATAGATGCTTTTCCATCCCTTCACTTTTAATATGCATGTGTCCTTCTTTAGGTCTGAAATCAGTCTCTTGTAGGCAGCATGTAGATGGGTCTTGCTTTTTTATATATCCTGTCACCCTATGTCTTTGGATTAGAGCATTTAGTCCATTTACATTCAAAGTAGTTATGGATAGTTATATGCTTATCTGTGCTTATTGCTATTTTGTGAGTTGTTTTATGGTTGTTTTGTAGTTCTGCTCTGTTCCTTTCTTCTTTTGCTCTCTTCTCTCTTTGTTGACTTTCATTAGTGATATGCTTGGATTTCTTTCTC